TTTAAAAAAATTATTAAATATTTCTCTAAAAAAATAATAATAATTTTAGTTTTAATTTTAAATATTTTAGTCATATTTTATAAAATATGATATTTATTGATTTAGAGAAATTAAACGCAAATAGATGTTATTTTCAACTTAGTCTCACATATTTTTAAAAATCATATTTTATAAAATATGATTAAAATTTTTGAAATTAAAACTAAAATTTTGTAACAAATTATATAGATGGTCCAATATTTCGTAGACTTAGTTTTCCTTGCCAAACTTAAACTCTGACTTGCTTTCAGATACACAAAGTCTACAACTTGAAAATCTACATAACGATAATTTGAATCATAATATTTATTTTGCTTATACTCATAGATTATAACCTATATAGGATTATGTGAATCTTTTCAGGAGCGTCATATACAAGAGTTGATCCTAGTAATTTTCTTTCTTCTACCTCTATCCAAAACAAATGTCTTACATTTTCTATCATACATACTACATAGCTTCATAGGGGATTATATCAATATTAGACTTAAAATTATTATAGTATGTAAATTTAATCAGTGGAATGCAATCTTTTTAGGTACCGCCAAAATCTAAATATAGAGTCTCATAAGATCTTTCTGTGCATGAATAGTTAGTTTAGACTAACCATCTGTCTGTGGATGAAAAATAGTATCGTAATGTAGTTTTTTATTCAGACTTTCTTGAATATTTCTCTACAATTTAGAAGTGAATCTACTGTTCTGGTAAAAAATGATTTCCATGGGTATCCCATGTAGTCTAACAATCTCATGCATATATATCGGTGCCAATTTAACTTTAGAGCATGCCTATTAGATCATGAGCAAATGATTAGATTTCGTCAAATGATCTATCAAAATCTAGATAGCGTCATGCTCTTGCCTCAATTGGGAAAAGCCATAACAAAGTCCTTAGTTACTTCCTCTTAGGAATGGACAAAAACTGGAATAAACCGCATGGTCGATGATATTTTGCCCTTACGAGTTGACAAGCTTTACATAGATACAAAGTCAGCTACTTTCCTTTTTTATTCCCAACCGCTAGAATAATTGTTTCAAATCATTGTACGTTTTATTGCCCCTGGGGTGAATATTGTATCCAGAATAATGTATTTTGTACAAAAATATATTTTCTTATATTCACGCTACTGCCCCAATCCATTCTTGCAGAAAATCACACCAAAATCATTATTCATAGTTTAGGTTTCTTGCCAAATTGAATTTGATCAACCAACTTAGAATATTCATTGTTGGAATTTTAGGATTTTGAGAATCCTTTCCTTCAATTTAGATTGTATAATCATTTGAGTAACCCTATCAGAACTCAAATCAAGTCGCCTTAAGACTATTCAATCACTTAAAATGACCTTGTTAAAGTACTCACCTTCTTAGAATGAACTTGCTAGACAACTCTGCTTAAAACAGCTTTCTAGTTAAAAATTAAAATTTTTATACCCAAAAGTTGCTTTAAAAAATAGTAAAAAAACTGTCTCAAAAGAAACCTTATCACTATTTTTTTAATTACTTTTCAAAATGAAATTTTAATATAAAAATTAAAAAACAATGAAAAAAATCCCATACAAAGCCTTAATATCACATAATAATCTGATCTTAATTATTAATTGCATGAACGTGGCATGAGAAGAGATCCCAATCCAGATTCCAGAGATAAGAGAGGACCCAGATTCGGACTAGTTAGGTCGACGCTGGTTTGATACCGGTTCACTCGACCTTCTCGAGCCCTGGATCGTGATTCCCGAATACGACTTCATTTTCTAAGTCTTCTCTCCGTTATTGCTCCGGGATTTCTGTGAATCGTCAGTGCCCGTTTTCTCTGTTTCGTTATCGTAATTCCCGATGAAGAAATCAGGCATCTTCTCTCATCGAACTTGCGGAGCTTCGTAACCTATCCTTCTTTTTTCGCAGGTTTTGCCTTATCTTTAACTTTGCTTTCGATGCTCGGTTTGACTGAATCTAGAAGACTCAAATTTTTTTTTTCAAAAAATATAGTATGATGATTTTACCTAAATACATATTTCTTTCTTTTTCTGTTTAATTTGATAAGTTTTAAGATGGTTTTGATTTTTTAACTTGACAGTAAAAGAACATAGACTGCATTGCTTTGTAATGGCTTTTCGTCGTTCAATGAGCAGAGACGCATGGCGCTGGCTTTTAGGTCTTTCATACATTTTTGCTGTGGCAATGATTTGGATTGCTGCTAGCTATATTGTTCAATCAGTTGAGGATGCTGGAGTTTCTCCCTTCCTAGTGACCTACATATGCAACTCACTTTTTTTTATTTATATTCCTATTGTTGAAGTCGCCCGATTCTTTGAGGATTCAGCTAAAAAGTCTAGTTATCGAATAATAGATCGCCAAGATCTTGGCTTGCGTGGTGATGGTAGTTTGGAGAATCTAAACCTCCTCCCCGACATCAACCACATTTCTGAGCCAACTTCTGTAGCTAGTCAAAGTGACAAAAATAACTCATCTGCAAAACCTTCCAATTTCGAAGATGGAGAACACAGTTTTGCTGTGAACGAAGATGCAAGTCATCAAGTTGATGAGAAAGAGCAGTGGACGAGATTTTCTGTAGCTAAAATCAGCTTGTTAATTTGTCCTTTTTGGTTTTTTGGTCAGCTAGCCTTCAATTTTTCTCTCAAGTATACCACTGTGACAGTAAGTATCCTTGTAAGAAGGTTCTTCTTTCCCTTCAAAGCAATGTATTTCACCAACTTATTGTGACATGGCTATGATCTTTATGCCTATCTGCAGTCTAATACAATCTTAAGCAGCGCCTCTAGCCTTTTTACTTTCTTCGTCTCCTTAGCATTCTTAGGAGAAAAGTTTACATGGGTTAAGCTAATTAGCGTACTTCTCTGTATGGGAGGAACAGTAATAGTAAGTCTTACTGATTCAAGTGCCAATTCAAATGCTGTTGCTACAAATCCTGTCTTTGGGGACATTCTTGCCCTTGTTTCTGCAAGTTTATATGCTGTTTACATCACTCTGATTCGGGCAAAACTGCCTGATGAGGTTGATGGGAAGGTTCAAGCAAGCACAGCTCAGTTTCTTGGTTATTTGGGGCTCTTTAATTTTCTGATCTTTCTTCCAGTTGCAATTGTGCTGGATTTTTCCAAGCTAGAGCCCTTCCACGTGCTTACCTGGAAGCAACTTGGTCTTATTGTTGGCAAAGGTTAGTAGCCGTCATTATATGTAGATTTTAGTTTTTTTTTTGTTTTGCAATTTCTTTAGTAGTCATTTGAAATTATGGACTAGATGATCTAAATCTCTATGCATTCTTGATTTGGGAAGTAAACTACTTCTGTTGGAACCTGTATTCTATGTGAATAGGTCGACTTTGTTGAATTGAGAGCTTATCCCCTTGTTTTTTATGCTTGCTTATTTAGACTGTTGGACCAAGCTAAGGCTTTGTTTGGGACGGCTTTTTTACCGCTTCTTAAAGCAGCTTTTTAATCTTTTGTCTATGACCTCTTTTTTTTTTTTAATTTCTTAATTTCACAAATTTCAGTTTAGATTATGTTATAAAATGATTAATGATGTGTTATTGATTTAGTTAGAAAAAATAGAATTCACCAAACATCCTAAAAATGCTATTTAGGTGGTTGCAACCATTCTTTAATAACTTACTTGGCAAGTTGTATTGCAAACTCTGTTAGTAATGAATATGGGTCTACAACCATTCTTTCTTTTGAGTTTTGATGAGTTAAAATCAAATTATAAGAATGATCTCTGAATTTTATACCATTTATGAAAAAAAAAAAAAACATGAAATGACATTTATAGTTTACTGAAAGTAGTTAAACTTAATTATCTCGATTGTTGTATGATTTGGATAACCTTCTTAGTTCCCCATATTGCTGAAATAAATACAAATCCCTTTTCTGCTATCACCTCTAAAACTTGATGGTGAATTGCCATCTCCTTAACAGGTCTGCTCGATAATGTACTCAGCGATTACTTACAGGTGAAGGCCACTCAGTTGACTTCAACCACAGTGGCAACTGCTGGTCTTTCAGTTCAGGTCCCCCTCGCTGCTATTGTAGATTCACTGACTGGCCATCCCCCTCGTCTTGCTGAGTGCATGGGAGCTGCTTCTATTATGGTGGGATTCGTGGGCATCAACATCCCTTCTAATGCCTTCAGCCATTCACAGGGGACCATGCAAGAGCTTGAAGCTGAAGATGCTAGCTTGCCTACAGAGCTTGTTGAATTAGGCAGAACAAATATTCCATAAAGCTACCTTCTTTACAATTTTGTCTGTTTTGATATTTTGGAGAGCAGACAACACCGAATGAAGCCATTGATGCTGAAGGTTTCAGGGCTTATAAAAGAGTGGGAGGAAGGCATATTGGAGGATCTGGGGGTTTGATTCATTCAGGCTGTAATGTAAGTACACATCCACATATCTCATGGGAGGTTTGATGAGAAAATATTACAATTTAAATTAAAGTTTTTTAATTTTATAATTGTCCAAAATTACAAGTATGTAGTTTTTTAACTGATTACTGAAGCATTATAATGTTCCTCGAGAATTATTATGTTGCAGATCAATTGGTTGTTATAAATTGCTGAACAATCAGTCTAGAATTTAGTGCTGATTCTCATCTGTTACATCGAAATAAGAGTTTGATACTGATCAACAATTTCTTCAATTGACGTTAAGTATGATAAAATTATGACTGTTGACGTCGATGCTTCCAAATGATAAAGGTAGGCCAATGACAAAACTTGTTGACATTGAATCAAATTTATGATGCGACTTGGAAGCACAAATATCAAATTAGATAAGAAGAAATTGCAAGATCACAATTATGGGGGCTGATTTTTTATTACTCCAACAATAATGAAAGATGCAATTGATTTATTATTCGAGAGGTAGATCAACTCTTCTACAAATCCTAGCTGTTGCTTGGAACAATTTCAAAAAAGAACTACATCAAACACAATCTTATAATAAAAGTAAAACAACTCAATTAACCATAATATATAATCCTTCCTATTTTCCTTTTAAATTTGAATTCAAATCAGCTCTCTTTAATTAAATAAAAATATTTTCTTATTCAAATCAATTCTCATTTCGTAAATAAAAACTTTCTTAAATAGCTCCTCATTGATTTCTTCTTACATAATGAATAATAACTCTTCTGGGCCCCACAAGTGCGGTCAAACTTCTCCCTCTTGTTGCCCCAATTCCACCCAACCACATGGCTGGTTCGACCTAGCAGGGCTGGTTTAAGTCGAGCATATCAATACTCCACCCTTAAAGATGCACATTGTTCTCAAGATAGAAGGATTAGAACTTCCTCCTGATCATCTCATATGGCTTCCATATGATTTCGTACTCCGGTAAATCCTTTCACTCGATTTGTATCTTTTGTGCTCATGTTTCAATTTGCACACACTTTCTACTTTCAGGGGTTCTAAAATGACCTCCATATCTTATGTCAAAGTTAAGGGTAGTGAAGACGGTGTGTGATTTCCTATCGTGCGCCTTAGATGTGAGATATGAAACACTGGAGGCAATACCGACTAAGGTGGTGATCACAATCGATAGGCCATTGCTCCAATGCGCTACAAAATCTCATAAGGGAAATTTCTTATTTCTCTTCCTAGCTAGTTTCTTCTGTAGTAGGGTCTCAGCTTCAAGTAAATCATGTCTCCTGGCTCGAAATGTACTTCCCTCTTGTGCTCATGAGCTTTCCTCTTCATGATCTATTGGGCCCTCAACATATATCCCTTGAGCTTTGTTAATAACATATCTCTCTCCTTTAAGTACTGATCTACACTAGATACTAATGTAGTGTTATGCACATAATGTATCAAATGAGATAGATCTATCCCATAAAGAATACTAAAAGGGGGTATGTGTCGTTGAATGGTAGGAAGTATTGTACCTATACTCAGCCTAAACAATTAATTTTGCCCAATTCTTCAACAAATTTGGTACAAAACATCACAAATAGTTCTCCACGCTTCTATGATCACCTCATTCTGGCTATGTGTCTGGGGATGGTATGTTGTGCTCCTCTTCAGGATTCTCCTGTAAACGGAACAACTCCTTCTAGAAATGTCCATGGAACAACTTTTCTCTATCTGACACGATGTATTATGAAAATTCATGTAAGTGCACCACCTCACGTATGAATGCAGTAGCCATAGAGACTGCAATGTAAAGGTGCTTTAGAGGGATGAAATGTGCATACTTGCTCAGATGATCCACTACTGCTAGTATCACAGAAGATTCCTCCGAACGTGGCCATCCTTTGATAAAGTCCATTATCACATCCTCGCACACCCTATCTGGTAGAGCTAGAGGCTGTAGTAAACCTCCTGGTGTCATGACCAAGCATTTGTGTTGCTGGATAATCACTTTTGATGCTCCTCAGTCGCCATCCTTTTCTCAAGCAGAAACTTTAGACTCCTCTGGTTTGTCTTAACAATATAGTGTCGCCCAGAAAATAAGATCGCTATTTTTGGATGACTAAGATAATTGTTATCAACTCCCGCTCGTATACGGGCTTAAGACTCGCCCTAGTTGTGAGCACCTATGAAATAAGTAATGGGCTGATGATCCTGCATAAGTACTACCCCTAGTTCATATTTTGATGCATTCTTATGCACCAAAAATGGAATGTTAAAGTCCGAAAACGTTAATATTTACATGCTGGTCATAAATTTATTTTGTTGCTCGAAGGCTTGTATTGTTGCTTTCCCCCAATTAAAGCTATCCTTTTTCAACTGTCCAGTCAGTGACCATGCTATCGTGTCATACCCTCGCACAAACTTCTGGTAGCACCCGGTTAGATTTAAGAACCCTCTCAAATCCTTCATGTTATTAGGTAAATGTCAATAAAAATAGCCTCAATCATGAACTAGTTTGCTACCCCTGCTCTACTCACCACATATCCTAGGTACTTCACCTGTGGTTGTGCAAAGGAACATTTATTCAAGTTGGCATATAGCTTGTGCTCTCTCAAAATCTCCAGTACAATCCTCAGGTAACTCATATGCTCTGTCTTCATATGAATGTAGATCAAGATGTCATCAAAAAATATCAAGACAAACTTCCTAAGGTAAGGTTGAAAAACTTAGTTCATAAGGGACGAAAAAATAGCTGGAGCATTAGTAAGGCCGCAATGTATTACAAAAAAACTCGTAGTGAACCTCATGGTCTTGAAAATTGTCTTGTGCACATTTCCTGACTTCATTATAATATGGTATTGCTCTGAATTCAAGTCAATATTTGAGAAGATGACCGCCCCAAACAATTTATCTAGTAGCTCATCAATTACGAGAATAGGAAACTTGTCTAGCACAATTTTCTTATTTAGGGCCCTATGGTTCACGCAAAATCTCCAAATGCGTTCTTTTTCACTAGTAAAATTGTGTTAGAAAGGGGCTCACACTAAGCCTAATAATCTCTGCCTCAAACATCTCTCTTATGAGCCTCTTTATCTCATCCTTTCGAATCGGCTGGCACCGGTGCGGTTGGACACTAATAGGAGAAGCTCCCTCCTTCAAGGAGAGGCATGTTCATGCTCCCCGAGTGGTGATAATCTGCTAGGCTGCTGAAAAATCTCAGGAAATTATTGCAAAAGCTAATCTACACACTCAGTGACCTTGAGCAGCTACAATTCTTGGACCTCCTCCAAGCTCTGCAGCTCTACCAAGTAGCCCAACCCTGCTCCATGTATCTCCTTAACGACTTTAAGTGAAACCATGGTTCTGCACATGCTGGCAACTCCTCGCAATATTACTCTTTTCCCCTCAACTTGAATCTCCATAGTAAAAAATTTTCAGTCCACATTCGTCTTTCCAACCGTCTGTAACCATTTCATCCTTAGGATCGCATCAATGCTCCCAAAATTCAAGGGAAGAAAATCCTCCACTATTTGTAGTCCCTGGAGTGTCAGCACCAACCTCATGCAAATCCTCCAACTTTTCTCCACCTTCCATGTATCATGACTCCAAAGCTCCCTGCATCCACCAACTTCAAATCCAATTGATCCAAGAACTGATTTGAGATGAAGTTTTGAGTATCCACGTTATCTACCATTACCACCAACGGGCGCTCCTGATATGTCCCCTTACCTTCTTGGTGTGATTTGGAGTAAATCCCACCATTGAGTTAAGGGACAGTTCTGCCACATCAAGGTTTAGGTGCTCTCCTCTCACTTATGTTTCCTTCACCAACTCCTCGCTTGTGGTCTCTTCATCACAAACTGTAAGGAGCTGAAGTGTGTGGTACTTGGACCAATGGCCTGGTGCATATTTCTCATCACATCAAAAGCACAAACCATTTGCTCTCTTGTCATACACCTCTGCTTTTGTGAGGTTGTTGAAGTTGGCCCCAAGGTGAACTCCCCCACTCTTCTCCCATGGTACCTCCCGCTAAAATGACACTGTCTGGGTCCTTGGTACCAGTGAAGTCGAGGCATTCCTGTACAAGCCTCCCATGACTCCGTTCCTATTAGTTTTCTCCATCTATCTCTGATCCTCCAACATCCGGGCTCGCTCTATCGTCTCTCTCAACCCCTCAGCCTCAACAATTGGAGGTTTGCTTGTATGTTAGGCTTTTGGCTCTTCATAAAATTCCCCTCCAAAATTGCCTCTGAACCCTCCCTCAACCATCCCAACAACAATTTTAATCTCTCTTTATACTATATGACGGCCCCCCCTTCAGTGAAGACAAAGAATTGCTCGTGTATTTTTCCTTTTTGAATTGCTCGAAAACGCTCCAATAAGCAATCCTTAAACTCCTCCCAATAGCGGATTAGATATCTGGCCTCCCTCCACTAGAACCAAGCAAGGGCTTTCCCCTCCAGATATAACCCTATGATCATAAGCTTCTCCTATTCAATTAACCCAGTCATCGTGAACTACCTCCCCACCCGGTACACCCACTCATGGTTATCCTCCCCTTCAAATATCGGCATCTTCAACTTTCTCATCCTAGCATCTCCACTCCAACTTCCTCTCCCTACAATGTGCGCCTTAGCTGTGAGATATGAAACACTGAAGGCAATACTGATTAAGGTTGTAATCCAATTGATAGGCCACTACTCCAATGCGCTACAAAATCTCATAAGGCCTATAGTATCATAGGGGAAATTTCTTATTCCTCTTCTCAGCTAGTTTCTTCTGTCAATAGGGTCTCAGCTTCAAGTAAATCATGTCTCTTGGCTCGAAATGTACTTCCCTCGTGTGCTCATGAGCTTTCCTCTTCATGATATATTGGGCCCTCAACAGATATCCCTTGAGCTCTATTAATAACATATCTCTCTCTGAATGAATATCAAGATGTCGTCAAAAAATACCAAGACGAACTTCCTAAGGTAGGGTTGAAAAATCTGATTCATAAGGGACGAAAAAATGGCTGGAGCATTTGTAAGGCCGCAAGGTATTACAAAAAACTCATAATGACCCTCATGGTCTTGAAAACTGTCTTGTGCACATTTCCCGACTTCATTATGATATGGTAATGCCCTGAATTCAAGTCAATATTTGAGAAGATGACCTCCCCAAACAGTTTATCCAGCATCTCATCAATTACGAGAATAGGAAACTTATATAGCACAGTTTCCTTATTTAGGGCCCTATAGTTCACTCAAAATCTCCAACTGTGCTCTTTTTCACCAGTAAAATTGGGTGGGAAAAGGGGATCATAATAATCTCTGCCTCAAGCATATGTCTTGTGAGCCTTTTTATCTCATCCATTCGAGTTGGCTGGCACCGGTGCTGTTGGACACTAATAGGAGAAGCTCCCTCCTTCAAGGAGAGGCGTGTTCATGCTCCCCGAGTGGCGATAATCTACTAGGCTGCTGAAAAATCTCAGGAAATTATTGCAAAAGCTGATTTACACACTCAGGGACCTTGACCTTCTCCGAATCTTGGACCTCCTCCAAGATCTGTAGCTTTACCAAGTAGCCCAACCTTGCTCCATGTATCGCCTTAACAATGACTTTGAGTGAAACCATGGTTCTCCACATGCTAGCATCTCCTCGCAGTATTACTCTTTTCCCCTCCACTTGAGTCTCCATAGTCAAAGATTTCCAGTCCACCTTCGTCTTCCCAATCGTTCTGTAACCACTTCATCCTTAGGATCATATCAATGTTCTCAAAATCCAAGGGAAGAAAATCCTCTATTATTTGTAGGCCCTGGAGTGTCAGCACCAACCTCATGCAAATCCTTCGACTCTTCTCCACCTTCCATGTCCCTTTCATGACTCCAAAGCTCCATGCATCCACCAACTTCAATTCCAATTGACCCAAGACCTAATTTGAGATGAAGTTGTGAGTAGCCCCGTTATCCACCATTACCACCAACAGGTGCTCCTGATCTGTCCCCTCACCTTCTTGGTGTGATTTGGAGTAAATCCCACCATTGAGTTGAGGGACAGTTCGGCCACATCAAGGTTTAGGTGCTCTCCTCCCGCTTATGTTTCCTTCACCAACTCCTCACTTTTGGTCTCCTCATCACAAACCATAAGCAGTTGAAGTGTGTGGTACTTGGACCAATGGCCTGGTGCATATTTCTCATCACATCAAAGCACAAACCATTTGCTCTCTTACCATGCACCTACACTGTCTGGGTCCTCGTTAACAGTGAAGTCGAGGCATTCCAGTTGGAGCCTCCCATGACTCCATTCCTATTAGTCTTCTCCATTTATCTCTGATCCCTCAACATCCGTGCTTGCTCTATCGTCTCTCTCAACCCCCTCGACCTCAATAATTGGAGGTCTGCATGTATGTTTGGCTTTTGGCTCTTCATGAAATTCCCCTTCGAATTCGCCTCCGAAATCCCCCTCAACCATCCCAACAGCAACTTTAATCTCTCTCTATACTATAGGACGCCCCTTCGAAATAGCCTCGTTTTGAAAATATTGTTGCTTAATTTGAAGTAAAAAAATGTTGACAAAAAAATTGAACTATTTGAATTCATCATTTGTAGGGTTGCAAGTGAATCAACCATTCGATGAGCTACTTGTTGCTCTATTTTATTAAAAGCACGTTTGTAATCGTTTAATTAACTAAGCAGACAGGCTTGAACAACATTTTAAATATTCGATTCTTAAATAAACAAGTTTGAAAAGTAATGTGTTCAGTTTATTTATGTTTACGAACAACATCATTTGAAGCTCACGAATAAGCTCGACATTAAGTTCGATAAGAAGCTCGATAAAAGTTCGATTCGTGTTCGATTCAGAATTCATGAATAAGTTCAATAAAAATTCGATTAATATTTAATTATAAAATTGATAAATAAAATAATATAAATATTTAAATTTATTATAAAATAATGATATAATTATTTTTTATTAATAATTTTTAAAATAATTAAATATTATAATATATGTTAACTAAATTAAAATTCACAAATTTATTAAATTTATATTATATATTATTTAATTATAATTATTTTTATTTTATTATTTCAGAAAAATTAAAACATATGAATAGAAGGAAATTGAATACGTGAAAGGTGGCATTGGCGGCAAACGCGAAACCCTTCCTCCTCAGTATTTCTACCCTAATTTATCTCCCCAAACGTGAAATCCTTCATATTTCTGCCTGAACGGCCGATTGGCCGACTCTCGAACGCCGCTCAAGCACCGATTGGCCGCTCAAGCGTCTTTCTTGTTCGTTCTCCCAGACGCAGCATCCTGAACCCTACATAAACGTGTGGCTTTGCAGTTTTGCTATTAAGTTTTTTTTCACATTGTTATATTGTTTGTTTAAGATGTTCATGAATAAATATAAGATGAATCATAAATCGTTTGTTCGTAAATGAGCTCATTTGGTAACTCAAAAATACTATATATAATCGTTGTCATTTGATAGCTCAAAAATACTCGTTATATTTTTTTTATGAATGTGTTTGTTTGATGGTTTTAAAATATTGTTAAATATGTTCATGAACATAACTCGTTGAGACTTATTTGTTTGAAGTTTGATAAGCTCTAAACAAACCAAACATGAACCAAGCATAACACCATTAATTTAAATGAATCAAAGCAATAAAGCTCGAATCAAACATGAACCAAACTTGAACAAGTTAATAATAAACGAACTCAAACATGAACACTTACATATTTGGCTCAGTTTGGTTTGGTTCGTTTGCAGCCATAATCATTTGATTCAATTTTTTCGTATTTTAAAATCTTTAGATTTAAACAAAAATATCTTTTTTGGGGGTATTTAGGCTAATTAAGACAAACTCATAAACACATTACATCCGCAAGCTTCAAATTCATGACCTGTTGGTTGGTTGCCAACGTTCCCAACCAAAAGATCAAGGAGAACTGCATATTTGACCAATTTTTAATTACTCTATTATTTTCCATTGTTGCTGCCAACCATTGCTATCGTCGCTGCCTGCTATGGTCGATCACAACCCACTACTTTCACCAGTCATCATCGCCCACCATTGGCCTCTGACACGGTTAACCATTGCTCGCCACTTATCGCTAGTGGTTGCAAGCCCAATGTCGACCATCGCTACCATCAGCCATAGCCCACATATGTAGTCGATTGGCACCACCATCGTCATCTTCAATCACCATCTATTGTTTTCATTAGACTTTATACTGTATTTATTTTATTATAAACTCGAACAAAAAATAATAATAATAATAATTATGTGCATTTATTTTGTACTCAATCAAATAAATCAAAATATTTCAAATGCATAGAATTCCTTTTATACTCAATACATCACAAAAAATCACCTTGATCAGGCATGAATCTCGAGATATATTTGAATGGAAAATTTTTAAAATTATAATTGGGACCATTCGAACTCCGATTTCAACAAACTTATAGTCAAACCAAACGTCTTGACAGGGCAAATATGACAACACCAAAATCGGTCCAATTCGAGTTTAAATGGGATCAAATCAAGGGCTTAAATCATATTTAGAAAATTTAGAGCATTAATTGGATGATGAAATGATCTCCAATTGAGACATGCTTATAATTGAATCGAGCGGCTCAACGAGACGAATCCAGCGAACCTAATATCACTTAATTTTGACATCATCAAGACACTTAAATGCGTAATGAATGCTCTATGATAGAGGTAATCAATATGGACCATCTAATTAAGCATTTTGAATTTGATCTAGATCTTCTCCATATTTACTGAACATGCAACTCTAAAAAATCTATAAATATGTCATCATTCTTTCACATGAGGAAAGGAATAAGGAAGATAAATTGAGAGAACTCTCTTGTATTATCTAGTTATCGTCGTCGACGACCACCATCACTGTTGTCACTGACATCCACTATCATTACTGGCGATCAACATCATAAATTTTCACCATCTCTAGCATAATAATAAGATTTAACCTTGTTGTTAGGTATATCTATTTGACTATGAACGTATGATTTTTATAACCCTTAATATACACATCAAATTCTATTGTTCGGTGTTAACTGTCCTTTTGTGGACACTTAATTTCTATAATCTCCTTCAAGAAAAATCAAACGTTTGTTCAAACGGTCTCTTTTTTAGCCTGCGAAGAAAGGATGATCCTCATATCACCTACTACATAATAGATTTTTCAACTGGGTTAAGCCTCATGATTTTTTTCCATTTTGGATTTTCCAAGTAAAAAAAATATTTGATTTTACTATTCTATCTCTGCGTGTTAAATTTTTATACAACATTAATATGTAAAATATATACTATACCAAATCAAATTTTTTAACACGCAATAATACTACATTCAATTTTATCTTATATTTTTTTTTTCCAGCAAAACCAAATGACCCCAATATATAATTGGTCGGTTTGATTTCAAATTAAGTAGATTTAATTTTATTTTTTTATATTTTAGGAGATTTGGTTCCAAATAACAGCTCCAGCTCAATGGTCACAACCAATCGCCGAACCGAACGTTTTCCTTTTTCTTACTGCCAATTCAAATCAATCGCCTCTCTCTCTCTCTCTCTCTCTCTCTCTGTATTCTTAGGCAGGAAACAGGGGCTAATGCGAGCATGGACGGCTGCGATGTAACTCCGGCGAACTTTACCGTCTGCGTGACCGGTGCTACCGGCTACATCGGCTCCTGGCTCGTCCGTTCCCTCCTGTGGCGAGGGTACTCCGTTCATGCAACAGCTAGAGATACCGGTCGGTCACTGGCTCTCTTTTCTCTTTCCAAAACATCATATTATATGACTGATTAATCTAAATAGAATGATAAAAGGCAAGGCATCCTTTCTTCTATCACTCCCGAACGATGCTCGCCGGCTAAAAATCTTCAAAGCGGATCTCAGCGAAGAAGGAAGCTTCGATGAGGCCGTGAAGGGCTGCGTTGGTGTATTCCATGTCGCTGCGTCTATGGAGTTCAGCGTAGAGCATGATGAAGCTAATGGTACTCTATTTTCTTTCTTTGGCTTTGTTTATATTTGCTGAATTAGCTGATTAAGAAAGGCGTGAATGAACTTTTTTGGATGAAGAGGAATATGTGACTGAAATGATGATGGAGGCAGCAGTGAAAGGGACAATCAATGTCCTACAAGCTTGTTTAAGGTCCAAGTCTGTTAAGAGGGTGGTTTTCACTTCTTCCATTAGCACAATCTCTGCAAAAAAAGAGGAAGGGGGATGGAGATCATTAGTTGATGAATCATCAGTTAACCCGATTGATGTAGTTTTGAAGACTAAGCCGTATGGATGGGTGAGTACCTTTATTTTGTCTGGTAAGATGATTAAGCCCTCCAATTGTCTCAATGAACTTGGATGCTTTTGATTTGTTGATTCATTGTGTGTGTGTGTGTTTTTTTTTTTTTTAGCAGTTATTACTGTTTTGGTTCATTTATAAGGTTTTACCTTTTAAAATTTGAGGTTAATCCAAGATATATAAGAGTAGAAAAGAAGAATAAAACATCTTGGTTATTCTCAAAGATATTGCAAACTTTTAATTAAAAAAAACTGCTCATTAGCTTCATCATAATCATAAATATCTTTATCATTACTATTTGAGGTTGGCTTCATCAATCTTCCTCCATTTGTCCTTGTTTGGGATGCTAAATGAGGTGATGCCTAGCTATCTATGATCTACCCACTTGCTTTAGTAATCCTTTCATATTAATTTCTATCTACCCTCCTTGTTAATGCATCTTTTGTGCTCCGTTCAACATGCCCAAAGCAACTAAGGTTATTTTTCACTATTTTACATTCAAGAAGTGTTATTTTAACTCTCTTTTAATATAATATCTTGTTCTATTCTTCATATTTTTTTAATCGTGTGTATATTTTAGTGTTCTCATTTTATCACAGAAACTTGTAATAGAGAGTTTTTTCTTAGCAAATTCTTGAATTAATATTATCCATAACCACTCTAATCAAAATTTTATATAATTCATCTTTTGGTCTCAACCATATTATCTATAACTTAAATTTTTTTCGAGACAATTAATTTTTATTTTGAAAAATATGACTCTAGCTCTAGAAGTTATGTCTTTGTATATATTCTTAGTTTAGGGTTTAGGTTCTAGATACTTTATCTTATCACAGTTAAGTGTATATCACTTGATTTTTCAAACAAAATTAGTGATAATTTTCAGTTTAATTAACTTCTAAAATTGCATATTGTCTAACATATCAATTGCCAAACTTTGTTCAACTAACCCTAAGGTCTTATATTTTGATCTTTTTTATGGAATTCCAACTTTTTCACCTCATCATATTCAATGCAGGCTTCATTTGGGATGGCTTTCTTATTGCTTTTTAAAGCAGCTTTCTAGTACAAAAATTAAAACTTTTGTACTAGAAAGCTGATTTAAGAAGCGGCAAAAATGCCATTCCAAATGAAACCTTAATGTTTATCCCTAATACAAATATAGTATTATTGTATATTTTCATTGTTCGCTTTACAAATACTTCTAATGCTTTTCATCACTCTATTTTACCTATTTTTAACAATCTTGACAAAACTGATTTAGTTTTAGACACTGATATTGATGCAATCTAAAAACAAACTTTGCTCTAAGAATGCAAATAAAAACACGCTTCCTTTTTCATTCACATTAACCTTAAATAATACAAACAAATATTACAATAAAGCAGTACTAACACTACTTACTACTTATAATAGAACGAGACACGACACAACTCAAAACAATAGTTTTAGAGAAGAAATATACAAGAGAAGAAAGTCGCATCCCTGAACCAAGCCTGACACGTTTGAGATTCTCGACAGTGGTGTTCGTGGTTGCAGTATGGTTGGATGTACCTAAGCATACGTGAATCTTTTACTTTTTTTATCCGAAAAGTAAACCCAGCCTAACCATTATGGTCATGACATGTTGTTGATATTGATTGAGTTAGAGTGAGTCAGAGACTGTGATAAAATTCATCCATAAACAAACTGTCACCCTAGTTACCTTCGTCACCAAAACATCCTGACAGTTTTCAGGCTTTTGCCGGAAAGATTGACCAGCATTAGTGAAGGGTCTTCTATCTAATCGAATGCATTATTCATTACATTTTTTTGTTTTGTTTTCTTAATTATCATAATTAATTATTAATAAAACATGATAACAGTATTGAAACCTAATTCGTTGTAAACAACTTATTGATTATTCTGGTTATAAGTTGACTATTGATTCCATTTGAAATACTTAGAAATCATTTGTTATTTTTAATTTTTTCTTGTTTTTTTCTTCTTTTTTTTTATGAAAAATAAAAATATATTAAATATCTTTTAAATATGAATTATTTTTTATTTTGATAAAAAATTGAACTAGTTGATTTATACGGGGGCGGTTATGGAGGTGGGGCTGGCGAGATGGCAGCAAGTCTAAGTGATAATACCACTTAACATTTTCTGAGATGCAGATCTATGTTGCATCGAAACTTATTACAGAGCAGAAGGCATTTCAGTTTGCTAAGGAAAATGCTATCGATCTGGTGTCGGTCATCCCACCTACAGTGGCTGGTCCATTCCTAACTTCCTCGGTTCCAGTCAGTGTCAAAGTTATATTATCACCTCTCACAGGTATTTTTCAACTTGAAATCGGGCAATTACCTTGCATTTTCTTTTTTATTCCAGAATTTGAATGCTCTGTGTTGATTTTGAACTCAATTGAAGAAAAAGAAATACTTAAATGATATTATTGATTGTTAGCTTGAAGTTGAAAAAATTGAATCTTTTGTAAAAAGAAAATAAATATTACTAAAAAATATAAGAACATAAAGCAGAATAAGTTAAGTAATTGTGAAGTTATTTAAGTAGTATATTTTAAAATAAAGAGATTAGAGGGCTTGATTTAAGTTATTTATGTAATATATTTTTAAATTTAAAACTTATTATTCAAGACACGTTTCAGAGATACGCGTTTATTAATTTTTCATTTTTAATCGAACACGTACAAGGTAAGATCGACGCGTGTTGGGAGTGCATGTGTGTTGTGCATGCTCAACATGATAAGTTTCATTATTATGAATCGTCAGGACATGGTAGCTTGGGGTTCATGTAAATTACTTCCGCCACTGTTTCAAGATAGTAAAAGGATAAATTATTTTGTACTATATTCTGTGCTAGATATTCTGATATTGGCTGTAACAAGAGCAAGGAGTGGTGTTACTATGAAACAAGATAACTTCATTAGTTGACACAAGCAAACCATCTTAAAGAAATCCTACATTGTTCTTTCTGTTTTTCAAAATTTTAGTCATTGATCGTCAAATTGAATCCCTACATGCCAGGTGATCCAAATCTCCATCCAATAATAGTCACAGTGCAATCCAGATTGGGATCAATCCCATTAGTCCATATTGAAGACATATGCAATGCACAGATATTCCTTATGGAGAATAATGCAGCTGAAGGGCGATATATCTGCTCCGCCAGCAGCTCCACCATTCCTCAACTGGAAAAACTCCTCTCTGAGAGTCACCCTTCTTTCAGTCCTAAAAGGCAAGTGTTTTACTTTTTTTTTTTCTCTAAGACCTCTTGAATAGTAGCCAAAGTTCCGACCAATAGGCCAAACTGAGCTGCATCTGCTTAAATTATTTAGTTTAAGGAAAGGAGAAAAGAGTTAAATTGGTCCTTAGATTTTCTGAATCTCAAATTATCTAACTTGTCTACTTTAGTCTCTTGACTTCACAAATTTTATTCAAAATGATCATTTTGACTTCTTATAACATCTGCTGATCAATTTTGGTACGTCTAAATTGATGCTTGCCAGGTCCGATAAGGAATTGCATTGTAGAGCTCCATCTGTGATCTCTTCTAAGAAGCTTACTAACTTGGGCTTCCAGTTCAAGCACAGCATCAAAGAGATTGTAGAGCAGAGTGTTGCTTCTTGTACTGAGGTTGGTTATTTATAGCTTAACATAGTATTTTTCTCTCAGCTGCTTGTGAATGATTATAGCTACATGAACTTATGTGCAAGCCGATATGATATGAACTATTTTATTTCTTAAGTTTAATGTCAAATTATTGGGTAAAATACTCTCTTTTATTTATTTATTTATTTAGTAAATTGCATATTTGCAAAAAAAGAAAGAAGAAATTTAGTGATTTGAAAAGTGGACGCATCAATTACTTTTTTGTTATGTAGCAATTGACATTATATCAACTTTGATACGTCATCAAAAATTATCTTAATTGGGCGCAAATTTCGATGCAAAATCAAATTGGAAACTTCAAAAATTAATTCGGAGACCATCCGAACTCCGATTTCAGCAAACTTACAGTCGAACTGAGCATCTCGGAAATACGAACCCAACGACACCAAATTCAACTCGATCCAAGTCCAAATGGGTCCGAATCATGGACCCGAAGCGCTGTTAGAAGGTTCATACCGCAATTTGAGATACCAAACGATCTCCGATTTTAACGAGCTTATACTCGAATCGAACGGCTCGACGAGACGAATCCAACGAGCCCAAGATCGCCGAATTCCGACATCTCTAAGACCTTCAAATGTCCAACAAACCGTGCACGATCGTAGGATTCGATATCGGCCGTCCATTCGACCACTCCCTATTCACCCCTGATCTCACACCTATTTACGAGCTATGCCACTCTAGAAAATCTATAAATAGAGCCCTCATTCTTCACAAGAAGGAGGGCCAAGCAAGAAGAGAAGACGAAGAGGAGAAGGAAGAAGCTCCTCCTCGACCACCGTCGGAGCCTCGCCGGACCACCGCAGGAGCCTCGCCGGACCACCACCGGAGCCTCTCCGGACCACCGCCAGAGCCTCGCCGGACCACCGCTGGAGTTTTGCCGCATCACCATCTCAAGGCCCGGCGTTCAGGCCCAACTTTCAGGCCCGACGTTCTACTGAATGCCCGACCTTCAGGTCCGACGTTCTGCTCAAGGCCCAATGTTCTGCTCATGGCCCGACTTTCAGGCCTGACGTCTTCATCTGAGGCCCTCACCTTCTCCAGAGACCCTCACCTTCGTCAGAGGCCCTCACTTTTACCAGCGGCCTTCACCTTCGCCAGAGGCCCTCACCTTTGTCAGAGGCCCTTGTCTTCGCCAGATTATCATCAAAGGCCGTGTGCTCCACCAGATCATCACATGAGGCCTAGACTTCTGCCGAACCACTACTTGAGGCCTTGAGCTCCACCAGGCCACCACCTGAGGCCCATAGTTCTCCCAGAATACTGCCGACTACGGTCATTTCGACCTCCGTCGCCTACTATGGTCACTCCGACCTCCATCAACAGACAACGGTCTTTCATACCCTGGTCTCCTGCCAACTACGGTCCTACCGACCTCTGTCGCATACTATGGTCACTCCGACCTCTATCACCAGACAATGGTCTTTCAGACCCTGGTCTCCTGCCGACTACGGCCCTACTGACCTCCGTCGCCTACTATGGTCCTTCCGACCTCTATCACCAGACAACGGTCTTTCAGACCCTGGTCTCCTGCCAACTACGGCCCTACCGACCTATGTGGCTTACTATGGTCCTTTCGACCTCCATCAACAGACAACGGTCTTTTAGACCTCGATCTCCTGCCGACTACGGTCCTACCGACCTCCATCGCCTACTATGGTCCTTCCGACTTCCATCACCAGTCAACAGTCTTTCCGACCTCCATCCTATCAACTATAGTCGTGCTGACAAAATAAATACATCTATTGTAACTCCCACCATGTAATACACTATATATGATGTACATTTGTGACATCAAGCCAAGGCCTTCTCCCTAAGAAGGCCTCATTTGTAATCGATTACAAATACTAGTGGATTCGTTCAAACTGGGCCAGGCCCCGTGGTTTTCCCCCTTTTTTAGGGGTTTTCCACGTAAAAACTCTGGCGTCTCTTATGAATGTTTCACCCCCTCTCTTATCTGCTTGTGTGCTGGATCTTCGTACAATGCTAAGACGTTAAACCATATATTTCTCTACCGCCGCGAATATTCTAGGACGCAACAGTTTGGCGCCGTCTGTGGGAAAGTGATTCCCGACTGGGGGGGGGGGGG